GGACATTCTTGGGGGGGAGGGGAGAGAGGGAGGAGGGCAGGAGGTGTCGGTGATGGGCCATGATAATCACATACATTGTATATTGACAAAATAAAAATTTAAAAAAAAAAAAAAAGAAAAGAAGGGAGAGAAAAGACAAAGAAGGAAATGGGAAGAATAGTGCTATGAGGAACTAGATGCCTGCATAGATTTTCCCCAGTCAGATTCTCATCCAACTCACTTTGGAATATCATCACTTTGCTGATGAATTAATTAAATGAGGTTAACTAGTATAAATTGTTTCTTTCTGCAGTTCACAAAACATATTCATTCACTGGTGATCACATCTAATAACATGGTCTTGCCAATCAGAACACATGAGAAAATTACTGGGCTAAAGCACAGATAAAAGGTTGTACTGTCACACATCAGGATAACTCTTAAGAGTGAAAAAACAATTCTATCATTCAAGTCAAATAACTTGCAGGTCGAGTACCATATATAGGTAGCGAGTAAATAGATGGTTTACAGCAGCGAGTAAATAGATGGTTCATGGCAGTATTTTTTACTCAGGCATTTTACTCCTGTAGTTAAGAAAGTATCCTTAAAGTCAGGCAATTTTTGCCTGTTACAAACCTTGGGAAAATTAATTAACCTCATTTGTGCTTCAGTTTTTCTCATCTATAAAATAGAGGCAATGGTCAATGAGGACAAAGTTACAGGTAGATAGAAAGAATAATTGCTTGTGTTCTAGGCTGACTAGAGTTAGTAATATTGTACTGTATAATTCTAAATAGCTAAAAAAAAAAAAAAAGGACCTTGAGCATAATCACCACAAATAAATGATAAACATTTAGGTGGTGGATATGCTACAGACCCTGAGTCGATCATCATGCAATACATACATGTATTGAAACAACACACTGTACCCCATACACATGTATAATTAAAAATAAATAAATAAATAATAAAATAAAATCGGCATCATGATAGCACCTAATTATTGAAGAATGAAATAAGGCATTCAGTGACACACAGGGAGGTTTTAATATGTGTCAGTTCTTGGTATATGTATGTGCTAAACCCTCATCCAAAAAATCTCGCTTTTTTAAGTTCTAAGGCTCTATGTAGAAAAGCAAATGAACCTTGAAACAGAATGCTCAAGATTGAGGAGATCAGATGTAAAGGGTCAAGAAACATGCAAACCAATGTTTAGCAGTTCAGGAGGAAAAGACTAGGTATCGTGTAATGAAGGCAGTGCAGTCAAGTGGTTGAAAGTTTAGGTTTTTGGAATCAGAATGATGAGGCATTGAGTCTCAGCTTTTCTAATTACTGTGGCATGACTTCAAGCAAGTTACTTAACTTCTCTAATTCCCATTTTCCTCATCTGTAAACATTTACTAGACCAGTAAAAAATATTTCCTCTTTAGTGAGGTATAGTTAAATAATTTTTAATGTGCTTAGCATAGTATGTCAATATATGGTAACTTGAAAAATATTTTGTTTCAGCAATATACTCACACTGCCATTCACCAGGCAGGATAGGATAAAAACAAATATGTGTAATGGTATAACTCAGTCTTCTAAGTGCTTCCAAGCTGGTTGTAGGCAAGACAAACAGATAATGTACAATAGAAGACAACCAAAGTTTAAATTTTCAAATTCCTCCTGTTAAATGACATTTCCATTTCTTCTGTTTCTTTCCCCCCATCGTTCATTTTCTATCTTGCATACAAAAATTCATGAAAGTTTTCCATCCTAAATTGAAGGATTTAAAAGGAAATATATTTTTGTGGAGCAAGAAAAGAAAGCCAACTTACACAATTTCTCATGACTTGCCTCTATCTTGTTTAATTATTTCTTACTAGCAAAAAAATAAATTTGTTATAGAATGAAACTGTATGGCCAAGAAAGAGAACAGGTAATTTTTGTTGTGCTTTGGGTAAAAAAGAGAAAAATAAAATCAAGCAGAGTAGGAAGTGACCATGGAGAGAAACCCATCTTGGCAAATGCTGACATAAAAGGAGCAGGGACAAAGAAGACGAATTGGGAGTATTTCAAAGATGTTGGCTGAAAATTGTTTTGTTCATATGGTGGTGCCTGTGATTCTGTGCCTCAAAACATTTTTAAGAAATAAACAACTATTTTTTCATTAAAAACAGAAAAAAACTAGTTATGTTACAAACAATAACAACAACAGCACATCTTTTTTACTAAATCCCATTGCTCCTTCTTTTACCAAAAGATCATGCCTGGGGACTTAAATTAGCTATTTTACCCCAAGTTTGCTTCCCTCATTTCAAGAACTCAACATAGACTTGTTGAATTTTAAAATGCAGTTCTCAAGTGTGTCCACAACTCATATTTTTACTAACAGCCTTCGAGGGAGGCCTCAAGCCAAACTCCTCTTCATTCAGATCCTACCAGGCTTGTTGGGTACTGAGCCAACTAGGGTGTTGCTTGCAATGGGCTGCTGAGCCTTTGTCGAATGAAGAGACACAAATTTCCACAGGGAAAAGCAGCGAGTAAATAGATGGTTCATGGCAGTATTTTTTATATCTCAAAAAACATTAAGGGAAAACTCGATGAAGGTAATAAATATATTCCCGAGTAAAACATGAAGCAGGGAATCATCAGACAGTATCTTACCTATTGGCAAAAGGCAAGAAAGAAAAAGATCTGGAGTCAGCCTAGTCCCTGGGTCTTTGGAGAGAAAAGTGGACTCTTAACTTTATTCAAAGCACATCTAGGATGTGATAACACTTGCTTTACACTGTATTTACTAAGGCAACAATGTGGACATTAAGTAACACTTCTGTTTGTGTTTATGCCTTAAAATAATTTTTTTTTAAAATTTTGTATTTCTGTGCATCATTTTTCATTGGAGGTCAGCAGATATAAAGAAGGAATCGGGTAAATTCAGAGGTGTCACTGATTTAAGTGGTGTCATGGAAAAGGAGGTGAATGTTCCTGATCTATCCATAATCCAAAATGAAGTTTCATTTTAACCTCACGATCCAGGCTATTTTATCACCATGGGGTGAAACTGTTGATATCAACAATGTTTATGATCCTAAGGTCAAAGAAAGCCATTTTAACAGCAACTTAAGGCAATGAATTCTGTTAAATAGTTTTCAGCTTATATTTTCCAAATCCAATACTCTTCATGGTAAGTTACTATTACTTAACTGTCATTATCCAAAATATTGATGGGAATGTTTTCATATTACACCTGTGGGTAAAACTTTTTTTTTTGCAATCTCACCATTATTTTAATTTCATTTATGTCTCTAACCATTTGCACAGATGTTGATGGAGCTGTATTTTTGCTTCAATGTATATTGCAATATTCTTATCGCATTCTGCAGGTCCTCCAGTAAACGTTACTTGCAATATTTTTATCAACAGTTTTGGATCAGTCACAGAAACCACCATGGTAAGTGCTATACTGCCACTGGCAAAAGAAAAATGTAACTCGATTATGCCATGAACACAACCTGTCAAATTCTCTATTGTTCAACTTGCAGGGCCTCCTGTAAATGTTACCTGCAACATATTTATCAACAGCTTTGGGTCAATAGCAGAAACTACAATGGTGAGTGGGACTGAGCATTGAAGCCATCCTGTGAAGGAATGGGATGTGGGATTAAAAGAGCACTGTTAGATATTTGTGGGACATTTACTGAGTGCCAATTTCCAACTTTGCTCGCCTCTGAAAAGCAATAACATATTCTTTCATTTTGGAAAGTAATTTTTCAAGTGTTCATGATTTAAAATTCAATAATCTTTTACCCATAATGCCAGAGAAATTTTGGAAACACTTGATGGTTAATTTTTGGAAGAATTATCAGCACTAAGCATGATGTATAGTTAAGATTTTTAAAATATCTCCAATGTTGCATAAGTATAAATTTCAAAGTTCAAGAGATGTTATAAGCCAGTCTTTTACATATAATGGAAGTTTTAACATAGTCAAGTCTCCCTATGACGTTACATTTAACATGTATGCCAAGGGGCTGAATTGACAATAACACACACATATACACACAGATACACACACACTATTTTGTTGGCAATAGAAAGTAGTCCCAAGTTCATAGCAATTACATCATATGCATGGCTTTTCCAAAAAGACCCATAAACATACAACAAATTAAAAGCTCATCATAAAGTATTGCAAACATGTCTCATGTATGTGAAAAAGATTTCAGATATTATAAAATCTACCAAGATTCCTTATAAATGTCATGATCATGTTGCCCGTGAGACAGCCTGTTAGATCATTAGCCTTACCCTACTCAATACTCGGCTACAGTATGGAGATTGCTTTTTGGGTGAAATATTTTCTTGGTCCTGTATGATTTCTTTCAAGTCCTAAATCAATTGGCTGGCTCTAATTTGCATGACTATGCAAAATATACAAGCATATTGTTGGATGAGACCAAACTAAAATATAGTTGAGCTTGACTAAGTATTATGGGGGCTAACGTCCTGAAAACACTCAAGAAATAAAATAATGAGCATAATTCCACTGAGAAGTAAAAAATAGGGTTTCCCTGTTTCTATGAATTTTCTCCTTTAGGCAACTACAATCACATTTAATAAATTACTGTACTTTGTGGTGTCCTTGATGCTAGAAAGAATTAATTTACCTTTTACCACTCCTTTTCACTGACAAAATAAAACATAATGCGACTCCATTACCCATTTTAATATTACTCTGAAGCAGCATTGTCCAGAAATGAGACTTCTGGGGCTTTGACAGGATATAGTGCATTAAGAATTTTACCTAAATAATAGAGTTTTGATAATGCTATTAAATGACTCATAAGAAAAACTAAACTAAAAGCTGAAAGGAATAATCCAACTCTGGACTTGGCATTCAGTTTCTGTCTCTCCCCTCTTGGTTTTATCTTAATAAGAGAGGGGCAAAATTTCCAGTAGCCCAAATCACTGTCCCCAGCTTTACATGATGGCATTCAATGACAATATTTGCACAACCTAATGCTGATTGCATTAATTAGATTCCTAAGCTGCTCTGATTAAATTTCCTCATTTCATCTTAGTCTCAATCAAAAAGGTAAATGCATACCTTTTCGATGTTCATTAATGCAAGAAAAATCTAAACATTTGAGGAGATGAAAATGGAAGCTACATATATCCTTGTTTTCCTCTGTCTTTAGCAGCTATTGAAGATGTTTAATAAATGCGCTGTTTATGTGCTTCCTGGATACTTATTAAGTGTTCTTTGTCATGTTTCCTATCAGAAGATTTGGAAACCATTGTTCAAGGGTCACATCAACAGCCTGTCTATTCTGTAAAAGATAGATAGAATTGCATGGTTAGAAGAGCGATGTGTATTGTGCTGCTTTTAGTTTACTCCTTAGCTTTTAATGCAATGACAAACTTCATTTGGCTTTGAAAAAAATTAATTTTATTTTCCTCAATTGTGTCTTTGGTGTAAAAATACAAAAAATATTTTTCGAAACTCTATCATGCTTAAGTCAAAGAAGAAATCCTCAAGCCACATAGGTTAGAGATTGGCAAACACCTTCTGTAAAAGGACAGACAGACAGTCTCTGTCACAATTGCTCAATTCTGTCCTTTTGGTATGAAAGCAACCATGAACAATAGTAAGCAAATGAGAGTGTCTGTGTTTTAATAAAACTTTACTTATAAAACAGGCTGAGGCCAAATTTGGCCCACAGGCCAAAGGTTGCCAGCTCAAGATCTAAGGCATCAATATTTAAATGGACATTATTCAGATGCTCATAAGAACGTCAAACTTGCTCCACCAAGAAAGGGTCTTATCTTCCAAGACACTTGAGACCCTGCCTAGAAATCCACTTGATGCATCCTGTGTTAATCAGCTTGGGCTACTATAACAAAGTACCATAGATTGGGTGGCTTACAAACAACAGAAAGTTATTTCTCACAGTTCTGGAGGCTGGAAGTCCGAAATCAGGGTGCCAGCATGGATGGCACCCTGGCAAGGGCTTTATTTGGGTTACAGACTACTGACTTCTCCTTGTACTCTCACATGGTTGAAAGAAAGTTTTCTGGGGTCCTTTTTATAAGGGCACTAATCTCCTTCACGAGAGCTTTACCCTCATGACCTAATCACTTCCCAAAGGCCACACCTCCTAACACTATCACATTGGAGGTTAGAATTTTAAAATACAAATTTTGGGGGTACACAAACATTCAGTTTGTTTCACATTCACAGAATGTCATTGCAGCTCAAGCTTCCTTTATCAAAACTCTAAGATTCTACCATTCATGAATTTACTGACACTTTCACAAAATTTGACTCAGAAAAATGGGTCAAAAAATTAAACTGGGGGCTGGCCCAGTGGCGCACTGCTACAGTGCACCGCTTGGGAGCGTGGCGGCGCTCCCGCCGAGGGTTCGGATCCCACATACAGACCGGTTCCCGCTCACTGGCTGAGCGAGGTGTGGGCGCGACACTGAGGGTTGCGATCCGTTGCCGGACACGAAAAAAAAAAAAAAAAAAAAAAAAAAAAAAAAAATTAAACTGAACCATATTTTTTTCCTAAACTGTCTTTAGTTGGAGTCAGATCCCTTAGCTTTTATGCACGGTGAGAGGGTCATTGAGGACATTGATTAATGCTGCTTTCTGGGGATAATAGTTTTGCTTTCTCTAGAATTTCTGGAATTAATTTTTCCAAGAATGCCTCAGAATTTTGAGTTTCTAAACATGTTGATTTTCCTCTCTTCCTTCACACCTCACTCTCACCCCATGACCTCGATTATCATTATTGAAACTTTAGTTTGGGATGTTTGTTTCTAAACAGGGGCAATGATTATCTCTTCCAAGAAGTCAACATGACTTTCTTTTGGTGCTATTCAGTCTGCCCCTATTATGGGTAATGAAATTTCACTAACTTATTGTTGGTACTGTGTTCCCACAAAGTATAGGCTCACTTAAAGACCCAATACCAACTCTCACTCCTTTGCTATGTTAGTGTTGGAGTGCATTGCACATTCATTGAGCAACATATTTGTGTTACCCTAAGGAATATTATTATGGATCATTATGATGGTATACATGATTCAAAAATATACATTTTTTGGGCCGGCCCGGTGGCGCACTGGATAGTGCGCCGCTTGGGAAGCGCGGCGG